CCTTTCCTCCCACTAGCAAAAACCCTACTCAGTCCCATGGGTTCACAGTATCGCAGACAACTCTGAAGTCCCTACCAAGAGTTAAGTGCCTCTGCAGAGTTGTGTATAGAAGACAGGACCAATGCCTAAGTTTGAGAAATTGAGAAGGAATTGAATTAGGTAAGTACCATTGAACGCATGCCGCTGGTGTATGACAGCATACAAATAAGTGATTATTTGTACTTAAGCTTGATGCGTTGAGCAGTGGTAAATATTCCTAGATTGTATTTTTAAAAAAGCAAAATAAGAGATGAACATCAGTAACTTCATGTCTTTTTTTTTTTGAGAGGGAGTCTCGCTCTGTCGCCGCGGGCTGGAGTGCAGTGGCCAGATCTCAGCTTCACTGCAAACTCCGCCTCCCGGGTTCACGCCATTCTCCTGCCTCAGCCTCCCGAGTAACTGGGACTATAGGCGGCCCGCACCTCGCTGGCTAGTTTTTTTGCTGACTGTTTTTAGTAGAGGACGGCTGGTTTTCACCATGTTTTTTTTTTTTTTTACTTTTCATTTTATTTTTGAGACAGGATCTCACTCTGTCACCCAAGCTAGAGTGCAGTGGTGCGATCATGGCTCACTGCAGCCTTAATTTCCTGGGCTCAAGTGATCCTCCCACCTCAGCCTCCCAAGTAGCTAAAAGGTTGTAAAACAAAAAAGCTAATTTCTGCGACTACTTGGGAGGCTGAGGTGGGAGAATCACTTGAGCCCAGGAAATGATAGCTGGGTGAGTACTACCATGCCTAGCTGATTTTTTTGATTTTTATTAGACATAAGGCGTCACTTTGTTCCCCACGCTGGTCTTAAACTCCTGGCCTCAAGGGATCCTCCCACCTTAGCCTCCCAAAGTGCTGGGATTATAGGCAAGAGCCAATGCACTCAGCAATAATCTCATTTTTCAAGTCCATTATTTCCCCAAATCAGAATCTAGGTAACCTCCTCTAAATCTGGTGAACAAGCCATGTCCAGCATACATTTCTGGATTTATGCTTTATTTACCTATAGTAAATAAGGATATTACCTGTAGTAAAGATCTACTCTATATTCCATAATATTGAGAAACACTGACTAACATTGACACTTTCTTCCTCTTTATCCTTTCTCTGGACTTTTTTTTCTTCAATAAGAAAAGATTAGGCAAAGAAAAGAGAAACCCAAATCATGCAGTGTGAATACATCCTAGCAAATGTGCTTAAAAGCTTGTAGGGAAAAAGTTTCAAAAAAAATGTTTTTTTGAGTAGAGCTCAAAAAAATTTTTTTTTTTTTTTTTTTTGGTTGACCAAGCTGGTCTTCAACTCCTGGCCTCAAGTGATCTGCCCCCTCAGTCTCCCAAAGTGCTGGGATTACAGAAGTGAGCCACTGCATCTGGTCTCTCAAAATGTAGCTTTAAAAGCAAAAATTAGCAAATTAAAAAGTATTCTTAAAACTGGAATTAGTTTAAATTAGCTGACCTAAAACAAGGCTCAGACCCTGGCTGTAAGCCATTCCCTCATATCTATTCCATAGTTCATTTTCACCTCTCTATCAAAAGATACTTTTTTAAAAAGCACATCTCTAGTTGCCTATTTAAAATTCACATAAGCTGGCCGGGCGCAGAGGCTCACTCCTGTAATCCCAGCACTTTGAGAGGCCGAGGCGGGTGGATCATCTGACGTCAGGAGTTTGAGACTAGCCTGGCCAACATGGTGAAACCCTGTCTCTACTAAAAATATAAAAATAAGGCAGGCATGGTGGTGTGTGCCTGCAGTCCCGGCTACTTGGGAGGCTGAGGCAGGAGAATGGCGTGAACCCGGGAGGCGGAGTTTGCAGTGAGCTGAGATCTGGCCACTGCACTCCAGCCCGGGCGACAGAGCGAGACTCCGTCTCAAAAAAAAAAAAAGACATGAAGTTACTGATGTGTCATCCTCTATATTGCTTTTTTAAAAAATACAATCTAGGAATATTTACACTGCTCAAGCATCAAGCTTAAGTACAAATAATCACTTATTTGTATGCTGTCATACACCAGCGGACATGCGTTCAATGGTACTTACCTAATTCAATTTCCTTCTCAATTTCCAACTTAGGCATTGGTCTGTCTTCTATACACAACTCTGCAGAGGCACTTAACTCTGGTAGGGACTTCAGTAGTTGTCTGCGATACTGTGAACACCATGGTGACTGAGTAGGGTTTTCTGCTAGTGGGAGGGAAAGGTGAAAAGATATCACCAAAAAAAGAACCTAATGCTTCAACTGGATATTATAACAGAGTAGAAGAAAAAAAAAAACAAGGTTACACAGTCAGCACTGTTAATTTAACTACACTCACCTGTCTCAGGTGTTTATGAAACTGTGTTCACTTCGTACTAATCTATTCTAGAAATTTCACAATTTATGGCAACTTCTGTCTTTTTTTTTTTGAGACGGAGTCTCGCTCTGTTGCCCAGGCTGGAGTGCAGTGGTGCCATCTCACCATCTCGGCTCACTGGCCAAGCTCCGGCTCCCCCGGGTCACGGCCATTCCCTGCCTCAGCTCCCGGAGTGCTGACTCATAGCGCCCACCACCTTCCGCCTGGCAGTTTTTGTAGTTTTAGTAAGAAACGGGTTCACTGGTTCGCCAGGATGTCTGAGCGTCCTTGATCTCATGATCCACCCACCTCGGCCTCCCAAAGTGCTGGATCAGCAGCGTGAGCCACCGGCACGTCGGGGCAAACCTGTTAAGAGAAACACCTCAGGCTAGGCATGGTGGCTCACACGTATACCCAGAGAGTGGAGGGCCGAGGCCAGGAGGATCTTTGAGCCAGGAGTTGAGACCAGCCTGGGCAAAAATGGCGAAACGCCCACCCTCACAACAAAAAGATACACAAAATTTGCTCGCGCATGTGTGGTGGCATTGTGTGGTCGCACAGCTAGCTCGGCGGACTGAGGTAGGAGGGTCACCTGACGCGCCAGTAAAGTATTGAGGCTGCCAGTGACCATGCTGGGCCACTCACCCCATCAACCTGGGTGACAGAGTGAGAAGCACCTGTCTCAAAAAAAGAAGGGAAAAAGAAAACATAGAGCTCACGTTTTGCTGGAGAATAAACAGGTTCTCGCTAGGCAGCCGGACTATATGGTATGTTATGATCCACCTCGAAGTCTCATTAGTAAGTTCTAATTTCTCAGGAAGGTCTGAGACAGTTTGATGGAGGACGGCCTCTTGCAACCGGAGGCAGAAGAACCAGGAGAGCAGGAGAGGAGTGTGTGGTCCAGCGACTTCTCAAGTAATGGGGCTAAAAGATCAAATAAGTTAATCTATAGGAATAATATATATTGGGCCGGCCAGGCGCGCGTGGCTCACGCCGGTTAATCCCAAGCAGCATGGGAGGCGAGGTGGGGTGGATCATGAGGGTCAGGAGATCAACCATCTTGGGCTAACACGGTGAAAACGCCCAAAAATAAAAAAATGTACGCCCGGGAGTGTGGCAGGTGCCTTGTTGAGTCCCAGTTACTCGGGAGGCTGAGGCAGGGAAAATGGCGTGAACCCGGGAGGCAGAGCTTGTGCAGTTGGCTGAGGATCTGGCGCCCACTGCACTCCACCTGGGCGGCAGAGCAAGACTGCCGTCTCAAA